AAAGAAATTGCAAAAGAGAGAAGTGCTTTGAAAGCTGACTGCTGAATATGGACACCGGGCAAGTCCACAGCAGGGACCCTAAGGCGGGTCATCTTCCCAATTTCCCAAGTCTCCAGCACCTCTGCCATAAAAGCAGAGTGTCGAGACTCTCACAAACTAAGGGACCACTTTTCCCACCTGCCAGGAAGCTAAGCACAGATGGTAAGGACACCATGCTGTTCCAATACTTGGCCTTCTGAGGACAAGAGCCCAGCAGAGTGGACGGCATGTTCATTTCTCAAGTCCATTGCTACGGCAGCGGCTACAGCACAAGGTGAGGATCTGGCCTGATGAGTCCTCAGGTGCCGGCCAGCCTGGGCATGGGTCTAGACAGTGGGAGAAGACAGAGGGGCCTCACCTCATGGGGCCCATAGACAGACAGAGAAAAAAACAAACAGCAGGAGATGATAAAGTATGCGAGATACTCCCAGTCAGTGAGTGCTAGATAATCTAAGTAAGAGAATGAAAAACCAAACCAACACAGGTTCTATTTTAAACGATGCAGGCAACAGGGAGGTGGCCTCAGTTGACTGCAGACAGAGATAAGCCCTCCCACAGCCTTGCTGTGGAACAGATGAGAGAAGTTTGACTGAAATTCAGTTCAGGGACTTCTCCCAGGGCCCGTGTCCTCCTCCCCTTTTGTAAGCTAGTAACTCAGAGAGTTCTCCCTGGCTTTACTTCCCTGGCAGCCAAACCCACCAGAAAATGCCCAGCCTGGAGTCAGAGACCTGGGTCTGAATACCGGCTCTGTCTGCAACCAGCCAGTAGCCTTGGGCGAGCTGCCACCGACCTCTCAGGTGATACCCCTGCATCTGTGCATGCGATGACCCAGACCGGGCCCAGCCAGCACCTTCTCAGGCTGACACATTCCAGGCTTGCAGACACGACTTGCAAGAAGTCCTGTGCCGGGTGTCAGGGTGGGGGCAAGGCAGGTGGCTGCCTGATTCTGGAAGCTCTTAGATGGGGCAGGACAACCCTACACCAGACCTGCCCAACCTGAAAGGCTGGAGGCGGCATAGCTGAAGTTTTACCCCTCCCAACCACCCACACACACCCCTGAAGCTGAGCAGGGGCTTTCCTGACCCTCCCCAACTTGGCACTCAGGCTCCCAGATATGGCCGCCCCAGTCAGGAGCACAGCAAGGCAGCATCCCCCTCAAACACCATCTCCCCTCAGGTCTCCTCCCAGGCCCACCAGATCCCCCTGCCCACGTACCATCCCCTAACCCAGAAGCCCCACTCCCCACTCCAACCCCCGAATGAGTCTCAGCTGAAAAGCCACTTCCCTGGGGACCCTCCCCATCCGCCCACTGCCTCACTCTGGCTCTGGCCAACCCACCCACACTTTCCATTTCTATGTTCGCTCCTCACGCTTACCAAGGCCAGTTCCCCTCACCTGGTTCCTCCCTGTGCCGTCTCTGCAAGGATTCGGGGAATTTAACTGAACTGAGGTGCTGGGCAGCGGGGCGTACAGGGGACAACAGCATGACCTCAGAGTGCCATTCAGGTCCCAGCTCTGCCTCACGTCCCACTCTGTACTGCAGGGCTGGCCCAGCCCACCTTAACCCTCCCCAGTTCTACAAAGCAGATGCGCAGACATCTATTCACTTGCCTGCCTCTGAGCCCGAGTGTCTGGTGAGGCTGGCACATTGGCTGCTCAGCCCTGAACGATTACTGATGGTTGTCTTGGGCCCTGTCCTGGGTGCTAGGGACAGAGGAGAACAGTAAGGCTCCTACCCTGAAGGACTCAGCCCCAATCCTCGGGTTCCAAAGCAGGCCCACCTGCTCTCTCACTGTCCCCTGGGGCCCCTCACGGTCCATGAGGCTCCAACCAAGGTCATCCAGAGGGCAGAAGCAGCCAGAAAGCAAGAGCCACGGGTCACGCCCAGCACGAGCTTTCTAAGCTGGCCTGGGAAATCCCAACCTTCGACTCCATCCTCACCACCTCCAGGGAGGAAGGTGGCAGAGGGGCAGCCAGGGTGCTCCATCCTGGGGGATGTGTGCTGGGCCCAGAAGAGCCTATGAATAAACCCACGATATGCAGTTTCCAAGCTGGTGTCTGCAAACACTTAATGGCCACGGGCCCCTGGATTCCAGCTTTTGCAGACGGAGGCTCAAAACCTAGCAGCCCACAAGCCCCGTCTGCCCGTGGATATGTTTTGTTTGGCAGGCAAAGTCTTAAATTTTTAAACATATTAGGTCCAACATTTAAAAATCAGATTATTTCACATCAGAATCCAATGTCCAGATTCTCTTAAAAAAAAAACAAACAGGCAGCTTTGGACTGAAGATGAGAGAAGAGGCCTGTGAGGGAAGGCCCCTCAGGGTCCTGGGGTAAGGGGCCCCTAGGGTGGGGATACAAAGACCTAGGGGAGTCCCACTGTGAGTTGGTGGGGTCAGCCTGAAGCAGGGGAAGCTCAGCCAGCCACAGCCGCTGGAGGTCCAGTCCCCACCATTCCCTATAGCCTCACTCCCACAAAGCTTCACTCATTCATATTATGTACTGGCCCCTGTAGGCATTTGGTTACTTAAAAATGCACAGGCACAGATCTCATAAACCCACCCAGGGCACAGGCCTCCTTCCCTATAATATCATCCACCTCCCTTGCACCCAATCTTTGATGACATAAAACCCAGCTGACATCAGGAATGAAAATCCAGCTACCTCCTGCCCAGACAAGGTGCCTCATACCTGTAATCCCAGCACTCTGGGAGGCTGAGGAGGTTGATCACTTGAACTCAGGAGTTTGAGACCAGGCTAAACAAGAGCAAAAACCTCATCTCTACTAAAAACAAAAAACTGAGCCAGGCATGGTGGTGCATGCCTGTAGTCCTGGCTGCTCAGGAGGCTGAGGCGGGAGGATCACTCAACCTCAGGAGTTTGAGGTTGCTGTGTGTGAGCTATGTATGATGTATTATACTCTAGCCCGGGCAACAAGAGCAAAAGTCTGCCTCTAAATAATAAATTATTTAAAAAAAGAAAAGATGCGCTACCTCCTGGAAAGAGTACACACGTCCCCAAGAGGGCACTCAGGAACTTTCTTTGTAGGATGACTGCCAACTTGGGCTGTAAAGATACATTGAATAATTGACAATTTACCTGATGCACACTGTGCTTTTACCATTACAGATCTGCATATCGTTTTACAACGTCCAAAAATGCTAACATGTCAAACTCTGGGGTAAACATCTTTATAACTTATTCACGAGGGGAAAAAGTCACACACAATGATGAGCTCTAAATGACATAAACCATTACTTTTATTTTAAATATTGGTCCATTTGAATAGCTCCATTTAAAAATAGATTCGCTATTTTTTAAATTATTAATATTTGATCAACCTCAGATACCTAATCTGAAGCTTTAATCGTCCCTCAAATCTAATATAAATCAGCTTTCTCTGGGCAATTTTAACATCTGTTGGAAAGGCAGTTGTGACTTTGCAAGGAAAGGAAAAACATGATCGAAAAGTGATTATAGATTAGAAGAGATACCTGCTTTTTATCTTGAGTTTTCTTAAAATCTTCACATGCTAGCCAAAACAAAACATTTTCTTCACTGAATTCCTTTTTTAAAAATTCCTATGGATAAAAAGAAAAGAAAATTATATAATATTTATTCTACTTTAAAAAAAATTGACATATTTTCCATCAAGGTCAGATCTGGCAAAATTCAACAGATGAGCATGGTTCAACTACCCTTTGAAAACTCCACCCTGAAAAACAAAGGGTATGTTTAGTGTCAAAACTAGAATTTCATATGCATTTGACTTTAAGGGCTTTGACATTGTAAGGAAGAGTAAAAATGAAGCAGGAATCTACTCATATTTCTTAGCTGACAATAAATTACCAAAAAGTAAATTAAAGTGGAAGATTTATTAGTTCCTTCCAGAGAGTGTTTAAACAAAGTACATTCCTGTAAAATCAGGCCCATTTTTTTTTAAACAAAAGAAAAGAAAACATTTTCAGTGTGTCTAAAAATGCCATGATGAAAACTATTTTCAGTTGGATGTGTATTTTCTTTTGGCAGAACATTGGGCAGTGAGCGACACGGCCAGCCGTTCTGTTATTCCGAGACCTCCCTGAGATGTGGATGCTGATGACAGTGGCCTGGTGTTCAGGAAGTAGTATCCCTAGTGCAGCCACCACCACCCTGCCCCCAGGGAACCCAAGCAGGCACCAAGAGCCTGAGGGCTCATCCTCACCTGGCCCAAGACTTAAAGACAGAAGTTGCTGGGACTCATTCTTAAAATTCACACACGTGGTCCTCCAACTGATGCCTGGGGCTTCTGCTCATGGAAAAAGCTATTTCCAGGTAGCATCTGCACTTCCCCATCCATCAGACCCTCTCAGGGAGGTCCTTCACCAAGCTCATACTGCCAGCCTCAAGCTTTGCTAGTAACACACCCTGAGACTCCTCCAAGCACGAGAGAACAAACCTTCCCATCAGAGGGATACAGTGCTGGAAATTCTTTGTACAGACTCTGCCAATGGACACCGTGTCTTTCTTCCCAATCCCTCCCACCCAACTACATGAAAAGTAGAAACAGCCTGTGCGTGTCCCCTGGTACCTATCCTGGTCTCCCTGGGAGAATGGTGCCAGCGTGGCCATGACACATGAGAAATTCTTACTCTCCAGTTGGGACTGACAGTGCTAAAGACTGGCCTATTTCTCCCCCACAGACTCCATTAACAATGAAAAGGACAAACCCTAAATCTCTTCACGCCTTCAGGGTCTTCCAGCAGGTTCTCCAGGGAGGTTGCCCATTTGGCTGTGCTCTTGAGGCTCTGGCGGCTGCTGCTGCGGCTGCTGCTGGAACTACCATCACTGTCATGGGCGTCTGCAAAACAAAGTTCACACTGCGTACAGGACCCAAAGGTGCTGCTTTTAAAAAATCTGCATGCAGTGGTCAGCACTGCCACCACCGCCACCATCATGGCTAACCCACATTAAGCTATGTGCCAGGCTCTATTCTAGGTGCTGAACACAACAGACTCACTCTACTCACAACAGCCCCATAAAGCTGGTGCTACTATTCCCTCCATTTTATAGATGAGGAAAACTGAGGCTTGGGGTGATGAAGGGACTTGCCATTTCCTGCCACATCCTTCCCCCACACCTGCGTCTGCTGACCAACTCAAACGCAGCCTCCAGTCTCACCCGAGCCCTCCTCCCAGAGAACCTTCCCTCAAGAGCAAGCCTCCCCATCGCGCTTGTACACAGTCTCACAATCATATTTTGCGTAACACAATTTTAAATAAAGACAGGATTGCCTCAAGTGCCAGCATGGCTCTATCACACGGTTACTTGTTCTTTTATTTAAACTTTGGATATTTTGTTCATCGTGGATATTACTGCATTTATTTTTATCTTTTAAAACACTGCATTACATATCATTTATCTTGACGCCTGAGTTTTTGGTGTGTAGAGCATATCTGCACATCTTCCACGGCCCCCTGACTCAAGAGACTTAAACGCACTCTGGAGCCAACTCAACATCTTCAGCTAACACACTTTGGCCACCTGCCTGAAGGAGGAAGTGACAAAACAAGAATGCCTCATGCGACAGAATTTAACTCTTTCCTGGAGTCAAGAAAAACCATGAAATGTCACATCTGATGGGCTCAGGATCAAAACCCAGTTCGGCCAATTGGAACTATAAGGCTGTGGGCAAAATTCTTGCATAGGTTTTAAGATAATCCCCTATCTCTCAGATTATCCTAAAGATTCAAAAAAAAGGAAGTCTGTAAGGCACCTCCCAGCACCCTCAGGTCATAGGAGACCCTCAAATGTTAGTTCCTTTCTCCCTTCCCTAAAATAACAATCTACGAATGAACTATTGTTATAGCTAATACTTAATACTTGTTCTCTATTGACATTTTTTCCCAAAGCTAGGGACATGTTTCTATTTTAAAAAAAAAAAAGTTTGAGAAAAATTAACTTTTAATTATGACATCAGCAAAGCTAATCACTTTTAAAGGATACATTTTTAAAAATCTTATAAATATTAATTGCTGCAAATAGCTACAGGACCACACAACTAAAAATAATTTTGGAGAAAATTCCCATCACAACACACTGGACTTAAAAGTAAAAGCTTCTGCGATCTCTGATGTCCTGCGGGGTGTAGGTGTCAAAATACACATTAATCTCTTAATTGTCTGGGATTCTAAATCTCGACCTGGATTTTAGACATTTGCTGGATGACTTGGGCTAAATACAATAAAGTAGAACCCAGAAATCCAGTGTGCGTGTGGGGGGAAGGTGCCCGTACTTCAATACTCAGTGGTGGCAGAGTATGTCAGAAAATTATTGGAGACAAATTCATTCCTCTGAGAAGCAAACCCAAACAAATGGACCTGATGCTTTTCTAAACCCACTCTCAGTTTGTGGATATTAAATCAGTTTCCTGCTCTCTTTGACAAATGCTGAGACAGCAATCTGAACACCAAGTTTCTATCCAACAAAGCATAAATCCAATGAAAAGATCACTATTACGAGAAATTTCTGCAGCGGGGTTCATCCATTAATTTACTCTTCTGCTCTTTACCCAGAGAATACGGTTTAACAGTTTACTCCATTTCCCCAGCAGATCTTCTCTTAAGTAAATAAATACAGAGACACGAGTTTGCTGTTCCAGGAACAATCTTAGGTGGCCCCAAATTTCTCTTGCCATAGCAGAACAACTACTTCGGCCGTAAGTTTTCAACACTGGTCTAAAAGAATTCCAAAACTCTTTGACATTTTTTCAATAATAAACCAAGCCACGTTTGGGTTTTCACCACCACCCTGTGTTGCGATTAAACACACGTGGTGGAGTCCCATCTGGCCCAGAGAACGCCTGGAGAGCTGAGACAGTTGCCCCCCCTGTTAGATAATTACTAACCTCCCTCTTTGGTTCGTACTCTCATCATTTTTGCATATTAGGTTTTTCTGTGTCAGCTTTTATTCCAACAAAAAGTTTTACAACTCGAAACCCACCGTTCTGCCCCTTGTTTTATAGCCTAGAAAACTAAAGTCTAGAAGAGAAAATGACCTGTCCAAGGTGACACAGACCAGGATGGGGACCTACGTGAAGGGGGAACTATGCCTACCACCGAGTCTACGGAATCCCAGGGCTCCTCGGAACACAGCTGAAACACTGATGGGTCCTCCTGTTCAGTTCTTTCCTGGGGTATCATGTCTCTTGCACCAAATGTCATGACACACATTTACGGCAGACACTATTACAGAAGAATGTGCAGTTTTCAGAGACGGCTGAGGAAGCACATCAAGATGAAGTCCCTCTCACTGCCATGGTTATCCATTTTCCGGCTTTGGCGCCCTAGATAGAGAAACGCCCTAACTTTTTACCCACCTTCTGCCTCCCCGCCCCCCCGCCCTGCATACTCCTTCTATGTGAGATACCCCCTCCCTATCTGTCATGTGTTTTCACTTTCCCCAGAAATACTGGCTTGACTTTTTCTAAGACATCCTGATTGTCTTTCAAGTTTGATAAAAGCTTCTGGCTTTTGCCTCTGTTTTAATCCTTCTTGATTAGTATCAGTATAGACAGATCTTGATGGAGCAATGTTTGCAAACTCAACTCACTTAACGGCATCTCTCTTTTCCAAGTCATTATCCCCAGCCTCCACCGAGACTAAGCAGAGATCCACTCCACTTGGCCTTGCCCTTGGGATTCCCTTTAACTCAGGCGTTTCTGCTCCTTGGGATCCCCTGCTCAGGAGACCCACTAAGTGAGGGATTCCTAAACCATCACTTCAAATATCACAATGGGTCCAGTAATGCACAGGGAAAATGCATAACCTTTCACAATAGCAGGTAGGTTTCTTCTGAATTTAAGAATAAAGCAAAACCAAGATTTCTCAGCTGCCTGACTCTTGGCACTTGGATTCACAAAGTTCTAATATTCTTCTGTCCTTCAAAGTTTCCATTTTGGATGGATTATACAAGAAAGCATAGATGAGAAAAAATGTTAAATGTGCTTTCTAAGTTGCTCTACAACCTCTAGAGTTAGTCAGGAGCTATTTGTGATAACATTTATTTGTTTCAATTTTGTCGTGCTTGGTTTATTTTTTCTTATTGTTTAATTCAACTGTAAAACATTTTTGCAGTGAATCAATTTTTTTGTTTGTTTGTTTGTTTGTTTTTTAGCTCCTGGGCTCTCTAAAGCATTTTAGATCTTCAATTTTTTGCAAGAAAAATACTTAATTTTTCAATACATTTATCTTCAAATAAATCTATCATTAGCTAATAATAAGAGTTAACACTTGCAAATTGTTTACAATGTGCTAAGTACTGCTCCCACCTTTTTATGTGGGTTAAATCATCCAATGTTCACAATAACCCTTTGATATAGTTAATATTATCCCCACTTTACAGATGATGAACCTGAGACTCCGTAACTTGCAAGGGTCACCAGCAATGGGGAATCATGGTCCAAACCCAGGCAGTCGGCTCCAGAGCACACACCCTTTACCACCAGGCCCTGCTGCCACTTGTATTTTTGTTATCTGCCAATGATCACACTTAGAGGCCAGAAGGCAACAGCCTTGAAGAGACTGATAACAATCACACTATGAGGGAAAGACTGAGAAAACTGGGTCAATTTTCTCAGGAAAAGTCCAATTTTAGGCAGGAAAAAGTCATCTCAGACTGGGGTGGAATTATCTAGCACACAAACACAACATTTACATTGATGTTGTGCCATGTGGTCTTTGGCTTTAGTAAAAGCCATTATTTCAAAGATGGGTGCAGCATCATGGTGCAGATGGCCAGGGCTGGTTGCCGGCAGCACGTTTTATGATGCATTATTTATAGATGCTGTGATGTCATTCTAACAGAGACCTTCTCTAGTCATTAATTCCTTAGAAACCCATCTCAGAAAGCACCTGCAACACTCATCAGAATTTAGTGTCCACAGTAAGGGTTTCTGCTATTCATCTGCAGGAAGGTCTGTGTAATGACTGCATAGATAATAACCCCAAGTCAAATCATACCATAGTAATATCTCAACATCCAGCTTCCTCAACATTGGAGTGGATGTTTATCTTCAAAGCATTTGTCTAACCCCCAAACTCACAGTATATTAAAAAAATTAAAAAGTAAACGCTCAAGTCCAAGAAAAAGCAGAGACATCAATCCTAAATTCTAAAGTGGTTTGGTACAGTGCACATTCCCACTCTCTAGTCCTTTAAAATACTCTATATGACAATTAAGTTTCAAAGAAAGTACACAACCCACAGAACTTATTTAAAGCATCTTGTCACCTAGACCACATCAAGTATATTACATTTAAAAAAAAAAAAAGAAGTCATCCCAACCTAGAAAGTCAGTTTGTTACAAGTGGTCATCTGTGTATGGCCCGGGAGAAAGTGGGTCATGGAAACACTGTATCTAAATATTACTTAAGTATTTATCTACCCCAGTATCTAGCTTCTGAGAATAACTACTACCCTGCAGGCGTGCAATTCCCCTGCTACGGAGATTTGATGAAACTGTAGTTAGCAGAAAACAATGATAAAAGAGGAAAAGTTTTCAAATAATCATAATAGTCAGCATCCAAGATGGAAGTAGGAAAACAGGTTGCCGTGGGTTGGCTCAGCTCAGGAAGGGCATGGTGCCATTTTTGGACCAGGGCTCGGTCAGCTAAGAAAGTCCAGTGCACACGGTGGTCCTTAGGTCACCTATGCCCTCTGGTCTGTATCATGCACTTCCTCCAGCCCCCGCCCTCCCCCGGGCCAGGGCTTAGGTGATGGGCAACCTGAAGACATCTCCTAAAGGGGGTGGGGGCCCTTCCTTACGTTCCATGCTCAGGGGTCCACCTAAGAAGTTCCACTCCGATGCCTTCTCAGAGACGCTTTGCACGAGAAAGGCAAGGGCTGCTGGGCTGCCAGGCTCTGAAGCACCCTTGAGTCCGAAGGAAAAACAAGCCTCAACATCCTCTTTTGAGTGGACCAAACAACAGATGGCCACTTGTTTCCAGTTTCTACCACAGGGAAGGAAATAAGAATGCCGAACTGTTATTTGTAGCCTCCTTAGAATCCCCACTTTCTAGGCAGGGGCCCAGAAAAGAGAAAATGACCCAGTGGCCCTGTCCCGAGAATGAAGACCCTGTCACTGATTCTCTCCTCTTCCCAGAAGGCTGTACTTCCTCTCGACCAGACATTTGTGCATAAATGTGCCCTCACTCTCCACTTCAATATCCCTGCCCCTACCTCAAGGCAAAATAAGTGACTTTTCTCCTCCAGTAGCAGTCACGTAGACCCTGTACTGCTTCAGATAAAAGGCTGTGTCCTCCTCAGCATCAGCAGAGTATCTGGCTCTCATGTATGTATTTTATAATAAATATCTTCCAAGGAGTGAATAAAGTTGGGCACAAGGCTAAGGGATGGAGGGGGATGACAGCTAATACAAATAGTTGACATTTACTGAGCACTTACTAGACCCCATCTAACTTCCCAACTATCCTTGGGGGTCAGTTCCATCACTGGCCCCTTTTCACAGATGAGGAAACTGAGGCTCAGAGAGGATAAGTAACTTGCTAACTTGCTACAAAGCAGCAAGGAAGAAAATGGATGAGCAATTCGTCGGGCTGCCGAGCCTGGGAAGAAACACACAGTGAAAGGTGCAAGAAATGAAAGGCCGGCCCTTGTTCTCAAGGAACTTAAACTGAATTGAGAAGATAAGATCAGGAGTTCCCAGGCGGCCACCTGGACACAGTACCACCAGCTAACATGAAGTTTTCTTCACCAGCCTGGGAAGAAAGGAGAATAACGATAAGAGAAGACTTGCCAAGTGAGCTGTGTAGATAGAACAAGCACACTCTTGGGTTGCTGCCTTGTTTTTTGTTTTGAAATAGAATTGCATTCACTTACATGGTCCAGGGAGAAACAAAATGGTTCCTTCCTGCTTGGAGAGGCTGTGCTCTCAGGTGCAGAGGCCTGGGGGACCTGGAGGAGCTGGCCTCCTGGAGCAGGGAGACTCAGGCACTGGGGCAGGGTGGAGGACACCTGGGGAGAAGGGGGAGTATCTAGCCCCCGTCGGGGCAGAGTGGGCAGCAGGGAAATGGGCCTAGGAGGGAGGGCAAGCTGGATCAGGGGTTCCTGGGCACCAGGCAGGGGGCAGCAAGGCTGACCCAACCGTGCTTGGCAGGGTCTCTGACAGATACAACTGGCTTGGAAGGGAAATTTGTCCCCAGAAGGCTGCAAGGAACTGCTTCAATCCAGCAGATGTCTCCTGACAGCTCTTATCAAGGGGCTGCCGCTGCTGCCTGCCCAGGCCCCTCTGCTCCCACTGCCACCCCCGGGCAGCTGTGGCAGGGAGCTATCAGGGGGAAGCAGAAGAAACTCATGAGAATAAATTTAGTAAAAGCTAAAAGGCAAGTTCCCAAAGCCCAGTGTCAAGGGGCCCCAGGGCTTACTTAGCCCAGAGAGAGAAGTGACTCAGTTCACCTAGGAAGCCTAGAAAATGGTCAAGCCAGGCAGGCATCTGTCTAGCTTTCCAAGTTTCTAACAACGAGAAAAGGAGACAGCAGACCAGATGCAGATCAGTGGAGGCAAATTAAGCCCCGTGAGCCCCTCATACCCAGTGGGTCCGCAGACACTGGTGGGCTGATTACATCTGACACAGCAGTGCCCCTGGCCTGGCCCAGCCTCTGTGTCCCTGCGGGCCAGGCCCCAGCTTGCTGGAGGCTGGGACCAAGGATGTTCTGCTGAGAAAGTTTCCCCAGCTGCCAAGACTGCCCGTTGCTGGCTTGCTACAACAAAGACATTAAATTGCTATGTAGACTGTCATCTTTAAATAAAACTTAAGCCCAGCAATAAATCAGAAACCATTCCCAAGGGTTTAATGGGATAATGTACCACAGGCACCCGTGGAAGGCCGAGGCGTGCTTGGCAGGGTAGGAATTCCCCTGACAGGTCACTCCTTGCTCTGGCTATGAGGATGGGGTGGGCGGGGGATGGCTTCAGATTTGCTCTTCAGGTGGGCACATCTCAGGTATCATCAACAATGCAAGTCATGAGGGGCAGGGTGAATGGACAGAACCTTTCAAGGGGGGCCTCCCATCTCAGCAGCACTAGAATCGCCTGGGTGCTCCCCACCCCAGGAGTGAATGGGGGGGGCCTGGGAAGCTGCATTTTAACAAGTTCTTCTTTAACCCCGTGTGATTGGTTGAACACACTTTGAGAAAACTTGGAGAGGAGAATAACGGAATGCCACTTTGAATCTCGGAAGGTGGGGTTGGGAACTCAAAGCCCTCAATAAGACTTTGCTGAAAAGTAGGAAAGAAAAAAGAAAGAAAGAAAAGTAGGAAAGGTCTAAAGTAGAAGGAGCTTAGGGAGACAGGACTGCAGCCAGGCCCAAATCGGGGGTCTGCAGGGACAGATCTAGGTTTTTTGGGGCCTGAAGCTTATGCCATTTGGGAAGCCTGTTTAAGAAAAATAATTCAAAATTATAAAATATATGTATCAGTACAGAGTCCCTCCAAAGATCACTTGTCTGGCTTCCCAATACCTTAGGCTCGGGGCCCACATTCTCCCTCTCAACTCCTTTCCCCAATGCTGGGTGGTAATGACCAAGCAGGAAAGAGCTCATGTCCTTTCCCATCATAGGAACAGAATTTCAACTTAAAGTCCCCAAGAAAGTAGGGATCTTGGAGCCCAGGTATCCAATGCCAACCCATAATGTTTAGCTGCTATCAGTGACGTAGCCACATTTCATTAAAGGTGGCTTAAAATTTGCTGCCCTGAAACAATCTGTTCCCTAAACCTGCCCTTAGTCTTTCTGGTGTGCAACTTGGCCATATGCAAATGCACCCAAATCCACACGTCTTCCATGATTCAATGGTTCTATTTGTGATTCTTAAACCTCAAAATGAGCCACAGCAATAAGTAATCTGTACAGAGGTATGCATAGCATCTCTACTTATAGGAAAAGGGAGAAAAGATAAAAGCTAGGAAATACTTCACTTCTACTTACTATGTACCAGGCATTGTACTAGGGGCTTCATATGTTTTAGTATTTTTAATCCCACAACTCCATGAATACTACTTTAGAGATAGGGAAATTGATGCACAGGAGTGCTGGTATTTCTCCAGGATGGCAGGGGACAGTCTTGAGTTTTAGCATTTGCCAATTTCTATGGCATAAATAGCCCACCTTAGAGAATCTCCAGCTATCTGTGGTTTAGCTACCAGTTCCCAAATTTCCTGAAGATTTAAAGTGGCTCTTACAAGACAGCCTGAGCCAGTTCCAGGATAGCATTGCAACAGAGACACAAAGAAGTCGAGTTAATTTGCCAGCGTTACTTGCTGAATGACGAAGTTAAGGTTAGAACCAAGAATTTAACTCCAGCGTCTAGGCTCTGAGCACAGCTCCACAGGCCTGGGCCAGTGATAGGGAACAGCTGACATTAATACCCACCAGGGAGTCCTTAGACTCACAGGCAACACAGGAAGGATTACAGGACCACTAACACTAATGGAGCACTTACAGCATGCTGGGCAACAGCGTAAGATCTGTACAAAACCCTATGAAGTGCTCCATTACTAGGCTTTCCCTAAATATTAAATGAAGTGATTTGCATAATTTGATTAGGGGGGACAGGCTCCGATTAAGTGTTTAAATAAACGGGTAGCTATTACTATTCCCATTTTGCAGATATTCTGCATAGAGGTTCCACAGTTATTAAGTCGTTGAAGTGAGATTCTGAGCCAGCCAGTTGGTTCCAGACTTTTAGTCACAATGTCCCTCAGAAACATGATGTTAGGTGAAAAAAGAAAATGGACCCGCATACTCATATGCAGACTCAGAGTGGGCAGGAGGGTGAGGCAGATGGGGAGGGAGCGCGGGGGGGGTGGGATTTCTCCATTATCTAAGAGTGACTTGGGGGCAAGTTACCCAACAGCTTCTGGCTTCAGTTTGTTCCTTGGTCTCCCACCGGGTTGGCCTAACGGTGAAGAGAGAATTCACAGAACGCAGTGAGCTAAACCCCTGGCCAAAATTAAGCGCTGGATAGGTCGTGGCTATTAATATGAACAAAAAAAGACAAGAGAATTGGAAAGAAGAGCTGAGTTTCATCTTTACCGTGGGTTCTTTGTCATATAAAACTGCCTTAAACTGTGGCTCGGGCTGATCCAGCGTGACAGCCAGAACTTGCTGGCACGGGTTTACAGATGTGCCTTCTCCATCCTGGAGTTCGGCGACCTTCGCGGGCCCCACCTTTCTGCTCCGCGCTGCAAAACTGAAGGTCTCGGGTGTCCCAGGCCCGGCCGCCCAGCCGGGTGCTTGAGGTCCAGCCGCGCCTGCAACTGGCGCGCACGGGCACTGTTCCCACCCACGCCCGCCGCGCAGGGAACACCTCCAGACCCGGGTGAAACCCGCCCGCCCTTCTGCTTTCGGAATCCAGATCCTACGCTACCTCCAAACTTTGGGGGTATTTTGGTCTCCCTTTTCTCCCAGACCATCACTAAAAAGAAAACTTGTTGTTCCCCTTTTCACCCAAACTTCCTCCCCGGGCGCCTCCCAGGGCTCTGCGCTCCCCTCGCGGCTGGGACCGCTGGCGCCGGGCGCAGCGGGGAGAAGCGGCGCGGTTGGCCGGGCTCCCGTCGAGCTGCATCGCCAAGCCGCGCCCGAGCCCGGGAAGGAAGGAAGGATGCCCGGCGCTCGGCTTACCTGACGGCGGCCGCTTCCTGCTCAGCCGGCTCACGGCGCGGTTAAACATCGCCGCGGACGCCGGGGAGGAAGGAGCTGCAGCCGTGCGGCGCGGCGGAGCAGCGGGAGGAAGGCGAGGAGGAGGAGGGCGAGGGGGAGGAGCCCGCGCGGCACCGCCCCGGCCCCCGCCCTGCAGCCCTCCTCCCAGCGAGGCGCCGCGTGGCGCGCTCGGTGCGCCCTAACATCCCGCCTCGGCCGGGCCCTCGGTGCCGGGACGGGGCGGGGCGTCCCCGGCCGCCCCGAGTTGCCCGAAGCGGGCCCCGCGCCCAAAGGAGACTTGGGCGCACCCCTGGCAAGGCGGTTAGCTAGCCCGGGGCCCTCGCCGCGCAGCGGGGCTCGTGAGAGATGCTGCCCCGCCCTGCTGCCACCTCCCGCGGCCCCGCGGCCTCCCGCCCTCTCCCTGCAGCCGCGGGGAGAGGGCTCGGCGCGGGGCGCACCTCTGCGGGGCGGCGGGCGGGGGTCCCCTCCGGGATCACAGGCCGGGAAGCTGAGACCTCGCAGATCTGCCCAGTGCGTGCGCGACTCGGCCTGTGGCCTCGGTTTCCTCGCCCCCGGAATGGGAATCCCCGTGCGCTCGGGCCCGCCCGCTCCGCGGAACCGCGCGCGCCGGGCCTTCCCACGCCGCCAGGGCGGGCGGGGAGTCCCCGGGGCCCCCGAGCCCAGCAGCCGGTGGGCGCCCTCTCCCGGCCCGCGCCGCGCCGCACCCGCGCGTTCTCCCCTTGGCCTTGAGGCTCCAGGGGTAGGCCTCCGGGATTTCTGCAGGAGCCCCTCAGGTTTCAGCGTGGAGCTGCGCTCTGTCCGCACACTTGCGCGCCCGGGGCACTTCTCTAACTTTAGGGACTCGTGGGCGCAGCTCCAGCAGCCTCAAGGACCAACATCGCTCAGGTCCCCACTGCGTTCTCCTCTCGCACACCCGGTCACCTGCTTGGCGCCGCGCGCTCCACTCTCCTCTGTTATTTCATTTCTTCAACAGAACTGCCCAAGAGGGGGGTGTCATTAGCCCCATTTTCTTGAACATGTGGTTTGCTTGGAATTGTCTTTCTGGCAAATTTTATTTTTCTCCTTGTGTATCTGGCTTTGTCTCCAAATTGGTCTTTATTTTTAGCTGTACTAATTGCTATTTTTCTAAACTGTTCCCCAGCCGCCCCCCCCCCATTCTTTTGCAGTATTTTCACTAGTTGGCACTTTCTTTTGTATCTGCTATTCTGCGCGTCCTGTTCTGTCCACTTTTCCTCTCTCCCTCCAGCCGCTCCACATCCCAATTCCACGCCATCTCTGTCCTGTGGTCGCTTCTTGTTTGGTTCTCAGCCCTTCTATGCATTCGCCCTGGTTTTCCAGGCTCCTGAAGGTTACGCTGGAAACGACCACGTGACCATGAATAGGGTTAGAACTCAACCTGAGCAGCCTGACCTTAAAAGACCGATTCCTCCTGTTGGCCCACTCTAGGGACAAGCTTCCACTCCGTGGTAAGGGGATCAGGCTGCGACACTATAAATGGGACTTTCACGTTTTGTAAAAGTAGAATTTTAAATCCTGGCCGCGTCCTGGATCCAAATGAAGTCATTGCATTTTCATAACATTTTCATAACATTGCATTTTCATAACAATAACAAGGGAATTTGTGCAGCACACCCACCCAGAAAACTTCCCCGGCACCAAATTACAAATCTTAATGCAGGAAATCAGGGCACCGGAACCGAGGGGTAAAGATAGGCACGGCCAGCTGAATGTTGTGCTATGCTGGTTTCCAGGTACCTTCTTGTGTCCTGAAAAACTCTGGCTTCAGTCATGCTTACAAATCCCTCCTGAGCTAAGAACTCCAGGCCTCCTAAATAAAAGGAAAATATAAGAGCTTCAAATCACTGTGTCCTATTAAAATATCAGACAGTAAGTGCAAAAAATAAGGACGCATGTAACCATGTCTTAGCAGGTTTAATGTAGACAGTTTAAAATTTACGTTTGGGACATTGAAAGACTGTCCTCCTGAAATTGCTATAAATGCCTTTTTTAAGCATCTAAACATCAGGACCGGTGGGGTAGCTCACGCCTGTAATCTGAGCTCTCCGGGAGGCTGAGGTGGGTGGATTGCCTGAGCTCAGGAGTTTGAGACCAGCCTGAGCAAGATGGAGAAATAGAAAAATTACTCAGGCATTGTAGCAGGCACCTGTAGTCTCAGCAACCTGGGAGGCTGAGGCGGGAGGATTGCTTGAGCCCACGAGTTTGAGGTTGCCGTGAGCTGGGCTGATGCCACAGCACTCTGGTGAGACTGTATCTCAAAAAAAAATTAAGTGTCTAAAGATCAAAAAGCCAGTTTTCATTGTCTACCATGCAGAAGATTAAGTATAAAGCCTCACAGCTTCCAAGTTTCTTTCTCTCTCTCTCTCTCACACACACACACCCCTGCTAAGTTCTGCCCATGGTTTCCGTTTGGATTGAAGGTGATTTCCATCTGAATAGATTTGCTCCTGTGTAAGTCCAGCACCCACCCGCCTTCTCTAGCTGTCTCAATCAAGCCGTCCCAAGCAAACCAGGGTAGCCAATTTGGGGAAGACGATGAGCAGCAGTTCAGCACCTTTCTCCCCCTGCTGGTCTCACCTTTGGTTCAACAACCTTCAGATCAGGCAAGAAGCAAGAGCCCCAGCTGTCGTCCAGTAAGCAGAATTCCAGCAGCATCATTGAAAATACCACATTCTGGAGTTCAGTATTTTTTATTCTACTCAGAAACTTCAAAATGTTGATCAGCTATAAATACATTATAGAGTCTCTTTCTTACAGCCAGAATATGTACAACAGGACTATTCGAGGTCATTTGGAGCCGATAAGGTGTAGTAAAATAAGTAAAAAAGTGCCTGACTTGAGGTCAAGAGACTGGGGCACCGACCCTTACCATACCCCAGAGCAGCTGGGGTACATCACAGCCTCACGGGACAGGACAAGGCAAGGATGCCACCTATTCAATTACAATGAACAAAAAAGCATCTGGCAAAGTGCCCAGCACATGTTGGTACACAAAAAATTACTGGAGTCTGAATTATTCCCCCTACAATGCCATTTTGATAAATGATCAACTTTATCCTATACACAGTCAGAAGTTGAATTTTTTTAATTATAGGAAGGTGGCAGGATTAATGCTGGTGTGATTCTCATGGTGTGGCTGCGGCATGAAGGGCAGGGGAAGGGAAGTCAGTACAGCCTCTCTGGAAAGCAAGGGAGGCGGACGAGTTGAGATGCATATTTGGCAATATATGTAAGAGTCTCCAAAACGTTCATACCCATTGGACTGGCGAATAAATTCTACAACTGGCAATTTGTGCCCAAAGAAGAACAAATGATGCAAATGTTTATATGTAAAATTGAGCATCATAACGCTTCTTTTTATCAGTGCTTTTATAGTAGCTAAAAATGCCCATTAAGAGGACTAAGATCCAGCCATAATTAGTCAGCAGCTAAACTCTCCTGGGGCTGGGGGTGATGCTGGGCAGGTGGCCTGCCTGGGACGGCATTCTGCGCCCACTGAAGATGCACCGTCCAAGACCTTTAGGCGAGTTTTAGGTTCTCGTTAGGATTTCCAGTTAAATAGGACAGATTACTTATGTCAGCTTGCGGCCATAATTGTATGTCTCCGTTCTCAAAACAAAAACAATCAGCCATGAAAAAGAGGAGATCTTGCCACTGTAGCAACATGTATGAACCTGGAGGACATCACACTAAGTGACATAAAACAGACACACACAGACAAATACAGTCTGATTCTTCTTGTACATAGAATAAGGTACCCAAATTGGTCAAAGCAGAACAGTGGTTTCCAGGGGACAGGGAATGGGACAAATGGGGAGATACTGATCAAAGGGTACAAACTTCCAGTTGGAAGAACAGATTCTGGGGCTCTCATGTACAGCCTGGGCAGTGGGGCCAGTGTTAGTTAACAAGACTGTGATGATCACTACACAGTGTGTGTATATATCAAATCATCGTGTTGTACACCTTGAGTATACATTAAGGTGACCAGACGTCACGCTTTTGGCAGGACAGTCCCGATTTTTAACAATTTGTCCCGCAGTGTTTTAAAAAAGTCCCAATTTTTGGAAAGAATGCGCGACAAGCTAGGGAACAGTGGAAGAATAGAAAGGGAATATACGGTTTTCAGCTGCTGAAAAGGTTAATGTAACTCCATTTGGGAATAAAGAGGTTAATTTAACTTCATTTGGAAATGAAAAGGCTAATGTAAACTCCCTACTCCCCTCCTGGGCAAGGTCCCTACTCCCCTTCTGGGCAAGCCAGAAGGAGACTGGCTCCCTCCCTTGCTTCTAGGCAAGGACAGTTAGCTCAGAAAGAGCCAGACTGTCTGGAACAAACAAGTAGCGCCCCCCCACCCCCAGCAGAGTAAGGTGACCAGACATCTCACTTTTGGCAGGACAGTCCCAATTTTTAACAATTTGTCCCACATCCTGTGGCGTTTTTAAAAAGTCCCGATTTTTGGAAAGAATGCATGACAAGCTAGGGAACGTGGGAGAACAGGAAGGGAATATACAGTTTTCAGCTGCCATGTGGCTATTTCGCCAGGATATGAGTTTTATATTATTTTTGTTAATTTTATAATGTTAAACTTTAATAACAACAAATAATTGTGCAGAACTGACTTTGGAGAACTGCTTATCAAAGTTTGCATTGTTGTCAGGCCCCTCCCCCCATGCCCCACCCGCCCTTTACCATGTCACGCTTTACCAATGTTAAAATCTGGTCACCTTAGTATTCATAGTATACAACTCTTGTCAATTAAATTTTTAAATAGAATAAATAATAAAAATAAATTTGAAAACAAAACAAAACTTCTCCACTGCCCCATTTCACTTCAGCGCTTTTCAGCCAAGTGCCTCTGATGAGTCGGCCGAACTCCCTGTCTCCGATTCCGCTCCCCCACTCTCCTTTACCCTCTCTAGTTTGACCTCTATCCCCGTGAAACTTCTCTTGTCCAGATCAACCATGACTTCCAACTTGGGAAGCCTCAGTTCTCATCTCTTCTCTTACCCCACCCATTATCAGCACTGGACTCTGTTGCTGGCTCCCCTCCCTCTTCAACCACTCTCTTTGTT